CGCATGACACCTTCAACAGTGCGTCCGATGGTGGTCGACGGCCGATCCTGTGACTCCATAGGCAAGGTGGAGGTCACAATCAGGATGGGAGACATCGAAGTCAACGAGCAGGTCCACATCATTCCTGGAGTCAAGCGTCTGATCCTGTCGTGGAAGACGACGCAGCGCCTCGGCATCATTCCAGAGGACTACCCCGAACAGAAGTGGAACATTCCTCAGGACATCACGGCAGCGGTATCGGCGCGGCGGACAATCACACGGCCAGCCGAGCGGCAGACGGCGGCGCTCGGCCCGCCGGTGGAGCGGCAGACGGCGGCGCTCGGCCCGCCGGTGGAGCGGCAGACGGCGGCGCTCGGCCCGCCGGTGGAGCGGCAGACGGCGGCGCTCGGCTCGCCGGTGGAGCGGCAGACGGCGGCGCTCGGCCTGCTATCCGAGCGGCAGACGGCGGCGCTCGGCGCGCCAGCGGAGCAGCGGGCAGCGCGGACCGGCGCCCCAGGGCCAGCGGAGCAGCGGGCGGCGCGGTCCGGAGCACCAGGGCCAGCTGAGCAGCGGGCGGCGCCGGCCAGCGCACCGACGGAGCAGTGGGCGGCATTGCTCCGCGAGTACAACGACGTATTCAGCGAGAAGATCAACATCATCCCAGGAGAGAAATACAAGATTGTTCTGAAGGAAGACGCTCAACCGTACGCTGTTCATGCTCCTCGGCGCATTCCGTTCGCTCTCAGGGAGCCCCTGAAGAAGGAACTGGATAAACTGGAGAAGGATGGTATGATTATACCAGTGACGACGCCGACAGAGTTTTGTGCACCAATTGTCGTGGCTCCCAAAAAGGACGGAGGCATCCGCATGTGCGTCGATTTCACGAAGCTCAACAAATCTGTGCGCAGAGAACTGTACCAGTCTAACACCCCGGCAGAGTGTGTGGCGTCGATCGTCGACTCTGCGAGATGGTTCAGCGTCTTCGACGCCTCCAAGGGGTATCACCAGTGTCCGCTGGAAGAAGAGAGCCAGCCACTGACCACATTTATAACGCCCTTCGGGCGTTTCATGTGGACGAGGGCTCCATTCGGAATCAGCTCGATCTCCGAATTCTTCAACCGGAGGATGGACGAGTGCTTCAGAGACGTCCCAGGCATTCAGCGCATCGTCGACGACGTTTTGATCTGTGGTGCTACCAAAGAAGAGCTGGAGGACCGTGTCCGGCTCTTCCTGGAGAGGTGTCGCGCGCGCGGTGTGACGCTGAACGTGAAGAAAGCGCAGCACATGCTACCGGAGGTGCGTTTCGCAGGCTTCTTGGTGACACATGGTGGTTACAGGCCGGACCCAGAGCTGCTACGAGCCATCGCCGCCTTCCCTGAGCCACAGAACGTGACGGACCTGAGGAGTTTCTTCGGACTCGTTAATCAAGTCGCGCCCTTCTCGGAAGAAGTGACGCATCATCTGGAGCCACTGCGCCACCTACTGAGCACCAAGCGAAGCTTCTGTTGGGACAACTGCCACCAGTCAGCGTTCGAAGCAGCTCGACTGGCGCTATCATCGACAAGGAGCCTGGGATACTTCGATCTCACCAGGCCGACGCTGCTATCTACTGATGCCAGCAGACTTCATGGACTGGGTTTCATCCTTCAACAGAAGCAGCAGAACGGAGAGTGGCGCGTGATCCAGGCTGGGTCACGGTCACTGACGGATGCTGAAACGCGATATGCCACAATTGAGCTGGAGCTCTTGGCAGTGGCGTGGGCAGTCAGCCGCAAGTGTCGACTCTTTCTGAGTGGAATGCAGCACTTCGACATCCTGGTTGACCACCGTCCATTGATCAGCATATTGAACTCCAAGAACATGGACGAGATTGAAAATTCGAGACTACAACGCCTTCGAGGGCGTATCAGCATGTACAACTTCACGGCAAGCTGGACGAAGGGGAAGGAGCACCAGGCAGCTGACGCCCTGTCGAGATCACCTGTCGACTCTCCGACGGCTGAAGACGAACTGGCTGAAGACGACACGGTAGCCAGCATCAACGCAGTGGTATGCAGTGCTCTGGAAGAAGCACAGTCAGACATTCGTCTGGATGACGTGCGGCGCGCGGCCGACCACGATGAAGAGGCCAGGCAGCTGATCCAGACGGTCCTCACTGGCTTTCCGGCGAGTAAGACGGACCTCCCGGAAATCATCCGACCGTACTGGGCAGTGCACGATCGGCTGACGGTGGAAGACGGTGTTGTTCTGTGTGGATGTCGGCTAGTCATACCAAGACCGATGCGAGCAGCAGTTCTCACTGAGTTACACGCATCACACATGGGGAAAGAAAAAACGAAAAGTCGAGCGCGCCAGGCCGTGTACTGGCCCGGCCTAGATAATGATATAGAAAATATCACGAGAAGATGTGCGGCATGTCAAGCGGAGCTGCCGTCACTCCCCAAGGAACCCTACCTCAGGAGTCCTCCTTCACGTCCGTTCCAGCACCTATGTACAGACCTCTTCCAGCACGCGGGTCAGTACTTCATGGTGGCGGTGGATCCGTTCTCGGGGTGGCAGTTCTCACGGCACCTGGGAAGAACGATGAAATCAGCTCGGGTGATCGCAGAGCTAAAAAGTATATTCTGCACGGTGGGAGCACCCGAGACAATCTTCAGTGACGGTGGCCCACAGTATACGTCTAGGGCCTTCAAGCAGTTCATGGAGCAGTGGAAAGTGGAGCACGTCATCTCATCGCCGCATTACCCTCAGTCAAATGGACGAGCAGAAGCTGGGGTCAAGGCCGCAAGCAAGCTGATTCGCAGGTGTTGGAAGTCGCCTGGTGGATTGGACATCGACGCGTGGACCCGCGGCGTACTGCAGCAGAGAAACACACCGGGACCGGGCGGCAGGAGTCCGGCTCAGATAGTGTTCGGCCGACCAGTCCGAGACACTCTGCCGGCTCACCGACGTGTCTTCGATCCTCGCTGGCAAAGATCGGCTGATGAAGCTGACACAGCTGCCGCCGATCTGAAGGACGACTCAGAGTGGCGCTACAATCAGCACGCCAGAAATCTGCCTGTCCTGCGCGTCGGCAGCCAGGTGATGGTGCAGAACCACGTCAACAAACGCTGGGACCGCTCCGGAGTGATTACTGAAGTTGACGGCAGGAGGCGGAGGTACTTCATCCGGCTCCCCAGCGGACGTGTCCTCACCAGGAACCGCAGGTTCCTTCGCCAGCGATACGCTTACTCGGAACCGCACGCAGTCAGCTCCCCGGCGGTGGAAGAGGAGCAGACGAGACTGAAACCTGCACAGGCTGCGCAGCAGCTACGACGGCAGCAGCAGCAGCAGCAGCAGCAGACGAGTCTGAAACCTGCACAGACTGAGCGGCGGCTACGGCGGCAACAGCAGCAGCAGCAGCCACTGAGGCGATCGACGAGAATAAAGAAACAGACGCGCAGACTCATCGAGGAAATGTGAAATATTCCCCGACTCTGTCGTTAGTTTGCGAATATTTCATGACTGTGTAAGGTGTGAATGTTCTCAGCAACTTGAGTTATTACCCAGGGAGTGAGGTGTTTGGTTCTATCATTGCGGTGTTCTGGTGTTAGGCACTTTCTGTGCCGCTTTGAACTGTCCGTTGAGTTCCGTCTATTTTGGACTAATCGTCTGTTATTTTCTGTATTTATTTTTTCGTTGTTCACCGCTCTGGTGATTTGATTGTCTCAATGTTTATTCATATATTTAGATTGAAACTGGTGTGGGGGTGTGAGAGTGCTAACTAATAGCTCTGCGTGTGTCCGCTAGGTGGCAGGCCGGTAGCGAGCATCTGACCGGTCACTGAGCCAATAAACAGTACGCGGCTAGACACGAGCGAGTGCGTTTGTGTAGACGGAGCGCGGACGAGTACGAGAGACTGAGCGAACTCACACAGATTGTAGCAGCCCACTCTCCACATCCCCTTCCCTTAAGAGTCCAGTATGTACATCCTCACGAGCTCGATAAGAGCGGGATCCTCAGGCCAAGTGGCCTTCTTTAACCCGAACACCTTGAAGGTAAGGTAAGGTAAGAAGCATGCCATTACCTTTTAGGCACCACCTTTGGTAGAGCAGTTGCATCCTCCTTATCAGATAGCAAAGGCTGAGCAAGAGATATGTCCTCCTTACTTCCAGATGAGGTGGTGAAACTCGACTTCATATCCATACCTACTTGCAGGTTAAGAGCTGTAAGGGAAACGTGAGAAGTTTCAAGTTAGTAAAACAACTACATGCATGTCTTGAAATTTGGTTTTACCAAAGCATACAACATCTAAATGAAAATCAGATAAAAATGTGATTCAAGACATGATACCCCATGGCTCACGAGCATATGCAAACTTGAAAAATGAAAACCTCAGACCAGACAACTTGAACTGATTCTAGTCCACATTTTGCTGTGAGGTACACAAGGGACTTAAATCAACTAAGAGCATTCACCATTTTAAGATTCATGGACCACATGATATTGTCCTCAGTCATGGGCATGGCCTTACAATCAACAATTCAATAAATTCTTTAAAAAAAAAAACAGGTAGAGCAGGCATCACACTTGTTTTTACACCCCAGTTCCCAGGACCAGATCAGAAAAAAATTATCCAGGATGAGTGTGTTTGAATCATCGGTACTCTCTTAGCAGACGTCACCCCAGTTGATTCGGTACTCTCTGCTAAGAGGGTACCGAATCATCTTCATCTGGCAAAAAAATGCAAGTAATTAACTCATAACAGTACACCAACACCGTTCCATAAATCTCGTGTACGGCTTGACAGGAAACACATAACTACGTGGAAGTTTTACAAAACCATCTGTTCAGTTTCACTAGAATAGGAGTACCGCTTTTAGTTTCCATGGCGACTAGTTGACAGCTAATGAAGTGATTTGTTATTTGCGAATCGCAAGCAGGGAAAGCGTATTTTATTGAACTAAAAGTCAAAGAGTTTCAATTATGGCGAGCTTGTTTCAAAAGAGGTGCATAATAATGTTCGATTATTTTCATATTTCAGTGCAGTTGCCTAGCAACAGAAGTTTCCTTGCGTCTGTTTTTTGTTTTTTGAAGAGCAATTGGTTATCGCTTTGGGTTTGTGGTCTCAATACATATGCAATTGAACAGTTTTTTCTTTCACTTTTCATAAATTTGTAGTGTACCTACCTCCTACTATTTCATTTCAAAATTTTTGAATGGTCAGTTTTCATGCAATTATAGCAATTGTACATTCATTTGGTAGGTTAGGCAATATTGATATAAGTCATATAACCAACTATTGGTAGGTAAGCAAAATGACCCGTCTGATGTCTTCTGTCCCTAATTTTTTGCTCGCTTAGAATTGTTTTATGCCTTAACTTTGATGAGAATTTCACAGGTACCTAGGCAAAAGATTCCCGAAACCCTAAAATTTGTTAAAATCTCATACATAATTGAAATTTGACATGTCATGGCTTTGACACTACACTATTGCATCAGACATTTTCCTGATGTGTTGTTTCAGGCTGAAAGTTGAGTGAACGGCAGTGGGAGCCAACCGCCACCCGTCACCATGCTGAGAAGCCTGCGGTGCCTGTGTCGTCCTCAGCCCACCATCGGCCATGTGTAAGTTCAGCCACTCTGGAACTCCAATCTACATTTTTGTATTGATAGTCTTATGTCTGAATTCATAATACTGAACAAACTTTGGTACTAGAAAACTCTTTTGTTTAGGAAATTTGATTCTCATCCAATCCAATTATATCATATGGCACCAAAAAAGTGGTCAATGCAGATCTTCATCTTAGGCATCTGTATCTTGGCCTGTGAATGACTAATTTATGCATTGTTTTTAGTAAATTTATCTTGTTGATATACCTACCTGCATCATGCATGGTCTTTTAGCTGAGCTTCTATGCTCTGCCATATTTGAATGCTATTTTCATTATTTTGATGCACATTCTTTAGTTATTGATCTTGTAATGATATTGAATCTGATCTTCCATCTCTCTCACGTCTGCTATCAATTTAGGGGCACTAGTTCCTGTCTTTCTGTGTGCTGATCTTATGGAAATATTTTGATCATGAATGATACACTTGACAGACAATGCACAAACAATGCTTGAACAGGTCGAAGGTCTATCATAATGAGAGAGCCCCGCTGGGCTATTGGTTAATTCATGATCACTGGCAGATCCAGAGGAGCACTTCGGGCAAACTCACCCATTACCCCCCCCCCCCCCACAACCCCCAACCCACCCGTTCCGCCCGAAATCGGCGAAAGTTTGCAGTTTTTCGGTAATAAAACGGTAACTTAACAACTTTTTATGGGGAAAAGTTTGTTCTAAATGGCACAGCAGTGCGTTAGGAATAGAAATTTAGTGTTTTTTTTTATTTTGAGACACTTTGGTTATACCCCGCGGCGTCCAAGACCGCCGTTCTGGATCCGCCAGTGTTAATGATGATAAGTCTAAAGTCACTATTTCCTATTTGGGAGTCGGCGTTAGCCCTGCTAGTTGCTACGCTACCTACCATAGCTTCTAGTAGCCAGCCTAAGGCTCTAATAGGTGTAGCCGACAGATGGCTCTAGTATACGGTGTCTGAAGCATACCTACTGTACAGAAGGACAGAATAGTTTTGAATTTCGGCAACAGGTGGCTCTAGCGTACAGCGCCTGGGGCATGCTGTGCCGCAAGGCTCAGTAGTGTCAGATCTTGCCAACAGATGGCTCTAGCGTACAGCGCCTGAAGCATGCTGTGCCGCCCGACAGACTAGTTTGAAATCTTGCCAACAGATGGCTCTAGCGTAGGCGCCTGAAGCATGCTGTGCCGCACGACAGACTAGTTTCAAAACTTGCCAACAGATGGCTCTAGCGTAGGCGCCTGAAGCATGCTGTGCCGCACGACAGAGTAGTTTCAAATCTTGCCAACAGATGGCTCTAGCGTACAGCGCCTGAAACATGCTGTGCCGCACGACAGAGTAGTTTCAAATCTTGCCAACAGATGGCTCTAGCGTACAGCGCCTGAAGCATGCTGTGCCGCACGACAGAGTAGTTTCAAATCTTGCCAACAGATGGCTCTAGCGTACAGCGCCTGAAACATGCTGTGCCGCACGACAGACTAGTTTCAAAACTTGCCAACAGATGGCTCTAGCGTACAGCGCCTGAAGCATGCTGTGCCGCACGACAGACTAGTTTCAAAACTTGCCAACAGATGGCTCTAGCGTAGGCGCCTGAAACATGCTGTGCCGCACGACAGACTAGTTTCAAATCTTGCCAACAGATGGCTCTAGCGTAGGCGCCTGAAGCATGCTGTGCCGCACGACAGACTAGTTTCAAAACTTGCCAACAGATGGCTCTAGCGTACAGCGCCTGAAACATGCTGTGCCGCACGACAGACTAGTTTCAAAACTTGCCAACAGATGGCTCTAGCGTACAGCGCCTGAAACATGCTGTGCCGCACGACAGACTAGTTTCAAATCTTGCCAACAGATGGCTCTAGCGTAGGCGCCTGAAGCATGCTGTGCCGCACGACAGACTAGTTTCAAAACTTGCCAACAGATGGCTCTAGCGTACAGCGCCTGAAACATGCTGTGCCGCACGACAGACTAGTTTCAAAACTTGCCAACAGATGGCTCTAGCGTACAGCGCCTAAAACATGCTGTGCCGCATGGGTCAGTATGTGTCAGACTGGTTTTTGCGTCAGCACGTGCGAAAAAAAATGATAACCGTCCAGTTTTTATACGTTCTTGTACCTGAATTGATGTCTGCGGTCCCCCGCACTCGTATTTCGTAAACTTGAGACCATTCATGTCAACCTGCATCTCTAAACCCATGACCACGCCCCGTGCTGGAGATAGGACAATTTTCTGGTCCCAGGCCGGTCCAAAAGATTTCGCTGTCCTCCACAAATTTATTCACCGGTATCTAGAATACTATGAATTTTGCAGCGTATGTGATAAGCAATGAATACCAGTATAAGTCACATATTTTACCAGATATAACATTTTAGTAGTCCAAAACTGATTGTTGCGTGGCTGACTGTCCTAAAAGTGGATTATATTGTCTCCAGTCACATGAATTTTCTCCTGTCGGATTTGACTCTCCAAGACTCGAACCGAGGTGACAATTCTGACTCTAATGACATCTGTTGACGTCATTTAAATGTTGCACCTCTAACGATCGCCGCTAACTTATGAAAGCCTTAACCCTCGCCGGACCTATTGGTTTTCTACATACGCGCCGGCCGAGGGGGGGGGGCGGGTACGACCCCCCCCTCGCCGTTTCGCCCCTGGTGAAGCTAGCGCGTCGCGGAAAAAAAACGAGCGTGTGCGCCGTTACGAGACGCAGAGATTGGTACCCGATTTTAAGGTCCTAGGTCAACCGGTGACCTCTGAGGTCAGGTCAAGTGCCCCAAGGTACGGTTCAGTTTTTGGTGAATAACTTCGCAAAAAACGGCCGCAGAGCGCCGATTTTGGCAGCATCGTGTTTGTCTCGCTCAGGCGCGTCGAATGATATACTTTTTGTCCGGGTCAGGTCAACTTGGGGTGTTGACCTCAGGTCAAGGTCAGGTCAGCACCCCCAGGTCACGAAGTTGGTTGAAAGAGGTCATGTCGCATATCATTCGATTCGGCAGGTCTTCCTGAGTCCATTGGTGGCTTTCCTGACTCGCTAGCTCAATTTGATCAAGAGTTATTGACGAAAAACTAATATGACCTTGATGACGTCATAAATGACGTCACGGAAGGTCAACATTGCAAAAGTGACGCATCTAACCTTGCAAGGAGTGCATAAAATCACGATTCTGTGTGCTTGAGATAGTTGGAGATCGTTCCCGGCGCCAGAATAGCAGTTTTCATTTTTCCCCATTGACTTATAATGGTGAGGTCACGAAAATGACCTGACCTCATATGACCTTTAGGAAAAATCCGAGATATACAAGTTGTGGGACTCATAATGGATACTATAGTTCGTTTTTATTCAAAAGGACGCTGGCTCAAAGTTCAATATCGAAGCTCTCACGTGAGTTTTGGCAGCTTCAGTGTCTGGCGAAGAATTTCTTACCGAAAAAATAACCGATTTCAAATTGTGCACGGTAACTAGCTGGAAATTGTTTCTTAAAAATGAACATACTATGATGACGTCACTGGTGGCAGCAGGCACCCAAATGTCCGTGCAATGGGACAAGTGTCAACGAATATGGGTGAAATTTATTTTTTTCACTGTTGCCGAGCTTATAATCGAGTAAGCAGTAAGCAGTCCATGATAGTTATAAGTTACATTGCTATACATGTTCGACAGTATGACGTCAACACTGCTCTCATATATGGTTCCAAAACGCACATATGGAAATTATCGGGAAGAAATCACATGTTAAAATTAGTCGATGTTCGATTTTCTCAGGTTCAGTTTTTGCTCGTTTTGCTCGCTAAAACACGTGCTTGTTCGAAAAACATACTTGGAGCCAGCGTCCTTTTGAAAAAAAAAACGAACTATAGATCCTGCAAGTTTCACATCCCTGTGACATCTCCTCTGGCAGTGAGGGCGTTGCGAAGTTGCGACATCTGAAGACCGTGCAGAGGTTCACTTATGACGTCATAGGTCAGTGACCTGACCTGACCCAAAAATGCGGTTGGTGTCAAAAGATGCGGCTTGGATCAAAGGTCAGGTATGCCAAGTTTCAGCTCTCTATCGCCAGCGTGTTCGGAACTATCGCGAAAAAAACCCTATGGGGGGGCGGCACCCGCCCCCCCCCCTCGGCCGGCGAGGGTTAATCTCTAACGACTCTCGTTGATCTCAGTGAAGCCCTCACTCTAATCCTCTTTTTTACTTCAATCATCCATTCATTTTAAACCTACGTTTTAATGACACCTTTGCTGACTTCAGTGAAGCTTCCACGTCTAATCCCCCTTCCCTGCCCTAGATGACCTTATGGAAATTATAACCCGTATATCCCACCCCTCCCCCACCCGCTATGACCCTCACCAAAGCCAGCACTTCTACCCTCCCCCCCAATATTCATCACTTGTATGCTATGTCCCATTATCAAAACTTGCACCTCTGAAGCCTCGTTAACCTTACGAAAGCCTACATCTCCAACACTCGGTTACCCTCACGAAAACCAGCATCTCTGACGTCCTATTCTTCAACAGGCGCCCCATGTCCCAGTACCCGCCTACGTTCCGGGAGCCAACTCTACCGCCAGAACAGACGGAGGAGACCCGTGAGCAGCTGACCTTTTCACCGATCAAAGCCGCGCCCAGTGACCTGACCTCGTCGGCATTTGATCATCCGGCCGTCAAGTAAGGGGGGGAGGGTGGAGAGAGAGGGAGGGAGGGAGGGAGGGAGGGAGGGAGGGAGGGAGGGAGGGAGGGAGGGAGGGAGGGAGGGAGGGGGAGAGAGAGAGAGAGAGAGAGAGAGAGAGAGAGAGAGAGAGAGAGAGAGAGAGAGAGAGGAGGGTGGGAGGGAGAGAGGGTGGGGAGGGGTGGAGAGGCAGCAGGACTATTGTGATTAAACACTCCAATTGGCTTGTGTTGTATGTTTCGATTTCGAAGTTCTACGTATGTGTTTTTCGTGAAGGAAATTTAAAAAAGATGTCATTTGTAAAATTTTGAATATAATCCGCCTTTACGCGTCTCATCTATTGTTAAACCCAGTGAGCGGCAAGGTCTGTTAGACCATATGAACTACTATCACCCACTTTGAAGCAGCATTCTTCGACATTCTGAAGCAGCCTGACGGATTGTTATGTTTTTTTTCCGTTACAGAAAATTCACCAACATTATCATGAAGGGAGGGGACAAGAACCTGGCGCAGATCCTGATGGCAAAGGTAAGCACTAAGCAGATGCTGGTTTATTTAACCCGCGCCCTGCTGGGGGGGGGGGGGGTGTTTGAACACCCCCTTGTGGTTTTTCGCGAATATCTCAAAAACGGCGGCGCGGAGCGCCACTGTTTTTGGTACACCTTATCATACATCAATTCTACATATGTTGTGAAAATTTCAGACCAAGGTCATTCAAGGTCAGGTCACCAGGTCACTTGAAGTGACCTCATCTCATAAAAAAGTTTCAATGTCTGTCATAGCTACACCGAGTGACCGATCGCTTTGAAACTTTCAGCGATTGCTAAGAGCAATAGCACGTACAAAATTTATATCTCAGAATTTTGATATCGATGACCTAAGGTCAGGTCAATTTTGCGACCTCCCCATTATAAGTCAATGGGAGAAAATTGAAATGCACCTCTTTTGGACGAAAGACATTATAAACACTCCAAAACACTGAATTACAAGTGGTTTAGACACACTGAATATGAAAATGGTATCCGTGACCCCTGTTTATGCCCTGAGGTCATCTTAGGTCACGAATGGTATCTAACAGTTTTTCGCAAATAACTTTTGATTGAGGCATGCTAGAGCGATGAAAACGCATTAGATGTGTTCAGCTCGACGATACAGATCGACTGATATGCAACATGACCCTTTCAGGTCAGGTCATGACCTTGACCTGAGGTCAAATTTTCAAGTTGACCTTTCAAGGTCAAGTTATAGCTCCTTCGATGCGTCTTGACGAGAGGAACACGATGCCGGTAAAAGTAAGCTCGTGCAAGGCTTGGGTCAAAAGTTATTGCAGAAAAACTGTTTCCGAAAAAAATCGGCTATTTTTGCAGTTTTTGCCCCCTGCAGGCAAAACCGTTGACTTTAGGTCAAATCTGAGGGAATTGCTCAGAAAGGGTGTTAATAGGGCTATCGAATGCGCTTTTCCGCGGCGCTGTAGCTCTATTGGTTCCCGAGTTATGCGTTGGCATCTTGGAAATTGTCGACGTTCGACCTGAAAATCGGCGAAATTTTGCCTT